AACCAGCCCGCAAATAAGTTGGTACCTACCCAACTGGCCTGCTACTGCGCAGGCTGGCCTTACTGCATAGCCGGCCAAAACTTAGAGGTGCGCAAGCTAGTCGGTCGGCCGACACTTCTTAGCGGACGTGTTGTTGCTCCTCACTCTTTGAGTTCCGACGAGATGGGCACAGCCTTGGCCAGGTAAGCTTTCAGTCTGTAGGCCCGCTCGCTTATGCTCAAACCCACAGGTAAGTCATCATACCCCGCTGTCACTCCCCCGTTATTTTAGTCTGCAAGCAAGGGCATTGGCCACTAGGTAAGTCCCGAACTCCTCGACTGTCCTCCCGTTACTCGCCGACCCGTTGAGGTAAGCCGCCCGCAGCCTGTAGGTAAGTATTCAAGCTGGCGGTCGTCCCCTGTTGTTGCGCTTGAAAGTATCACTTCCGCCAGACCACACCTGCCTCATACGCAGTCGTCCTTAGTAGCGAAAGTACCTGTCCCACATCACGGCCAGGTTCAGTCGCAAGAAACCAAACCCACCAGGCGCAGCCCCGAAATACCATCCCGCCAAATTTATACGGCCAACACAAAATCTACCAGTGCCATCACGTTCGTATCACCTGAGAACCTCTGAAACACATTATTTCTCTCTCGATTTTATTAAGGATCGAGCGAGATATCGTTGTCTTCTTTCCTGCCATAGCCGACTCCCGACAACCCCACGCGCATCCTTCTCTACTAACCTCTCTTTCGGCTTACTCTCGTCCAGATGGTCGCGGTATACTTGTTTTCTCCTCCTTCCCGCGCCCTCCATAGCCATGCGCGGACCATTTCTCCTTACTAGCTTCTTCAACGCTAACTTACCACTAGATCTAACCTCGACTACGGGATCGTTCGACCTTAAAACCCCCCTATACCCTTTTTTCCCTGCCTGCTTTCGCTCAGGAATGAGCAAACACATTCGTTCTCTCTTCTCCCTTTCCTCCTTTGTTTCTTTCGGTCATAAGTGCGCATCTTCTCACTTCTACTACTCACAAACTAGCCCCCTATTGTCAAAACCAAACCCCCCATTAGACTCGCCATAGCTCATAACCTCGGAATCGCCTCCTCTCTCACCCGATTCCGATGAGAGTTGGGCGAGTTACACTTCTTCAACTGCGCTCGGCCCGTCACCCGCTGATCTCGTGGTCGGATGTTTTCGGCGCAATATGACGCCCAGATCTATCTGTTATCTAGTACCTCCGTTCGTCTTCCTTGTGCTAACGTCAACTCCCGCTGTAGCGCACGACCCTACCAATTGCGCAGAAAAAAAAACAGTACTAACGAGAACTTCGGCGAAACCTGGGTACTTTTACCAACCCGACTAGCACTTTCGCCTCTACGCCCAACTCCGACGAACATCGTACCGTCCTATAGCCCCGCGTGCCTCTGTCAGTAGCCGACTTGGTTAACCCGGAGCCTCTATATCGAAATCCTTTGGCCTACTTTGCTCATCCGCACCACTGCTAGCCCCTACCTCTTTTATCTTCGAATGTATCCTACCCCAATTCCGCGCCAGACCCATCCTACTTCCGTCTGCTTCTTGTGCTGATGCGGCACCTAATAGTGAAAGCCTCCGCCGCGGCCCTGCAACTTCCCGACAACCCCATCTATCCTAAAGAGAAGTTCGGGGGGGGCCGACTTGGCTAATCTTCCACCTCCTATTCCTGGTTTGTCGAGCTACTGACACAGTAGTATCGCCGTGCCTTCTCCACAATGCCCCCTGGCCCGCCCGACTAGGCATAGTTCAACACCTTGTGAGGCCCAGCGGGCACGCTCATAATCAAGCCTCTTACGACAACTAACGGTTGGCTGATGGCGCACCCGCAAAAAGTCCCCGCCACTCAATCTTCTCCCTCCTCGAGGGTTAATCACTCGCCGTCCCGTATGCACGTTGAACTTAGCTCACTTTCTCAAGATGGTTGGAGCAGATGACGTTTACCAACATCCTGAACACGCAGGGGCTCGTAGGTCAGCCAAAGGAGGCACACGCCCAAGGCTTTCGCCCGCCCTGACACCCCCCAAATCCGACGCTGCGTCCGTTTTCAGGGAACGTTGGTTCATAAAAAAATAATAATAATACAATGATAAATAAATAAAAATATTTAGAACTTTTAATGGTCAGAACATGACGAACGAGGGAAAAAAGGAAAATGCTAGCACCATTTTGACGTCACTGACGGCAAAACCAAGGGGGATAGCCCCTCCGGGCCCTCAACCCCTCGGTCCCTTCGCGCTACTTTGATATCCCCGCGTCGTCACCGCTCGATCTTGATCCCTGAATCTCTTTGATGAAAGTCCGATGCTGTAACCAATAGTGCTAGGCCCAAGGCTGGTTCTAGCACTGACGGACACCTAAATACGCGAATACTGCACGACGCGCAGATCTACCGAAACGTCTTCAAAATCACAATGTTGTCCACGCCGTCCTTCGCACGTACGCACAAGTCACAGGCACGCACACCAATCAAAAAACGGAA